AGCAATTTTTTAAGATATAAGTTGTTGAGAAACACGAATATTCAATTCAAAGTCTCAAGAACGCAGAAATAGTACTTAGGACGTACTACTGGGTAGTAGTTCAGCGGTGTAATTGCGATCGAAACCATTTGCTATTTGGATTGCCTCTCCATAAGAGCCAACGTTAATACAGGCATAAATAATTTGAGTAATTCTGGGGTTTTGCAGTATATGGTCGATGCATTAAGTCCACAGGAATAATGTGAGACTAACAGCGTTCATTTTCAGTGCCTAATTATTGAGATATTCGCATTTTTGTATCATTAGGAATTTTCAATCACCTGTCGGTATGATTTCGCTAGCAGTTTGAGCGAATTGCCACGGGTGGCGCCACTGGTCGAAAAAATAGTGGTATTCCGCGTTCAAATGCAATTTTAACAGTGTTCGGGTCGTTTATTGTTATTGTCAATAGCAGGGGATTAATCTACGTACTTTCAGCTCCAAATTGAGTGCTTTATCTAAACGAAAGCTATCCGTATAACGGTGTAAGGGCTGTCCAAAGTGAACTAAACGGGGTACGCGTGAGGAGATACAGTGTCGACCGTTGCAAATAAATGTAATTTTAACAATGTTCTTGTAATTACTGGTTCTCAGCCGTTAGAGAGTATTTCCACGAAATAGAATACAATATTTGGAATATTCTTCACTCTCTATTATATTTGTGCTGTTTGTTTTCAACGTTCCACCGGTCGCGCTTTTGTGTCGCGTATAACAACCTGTGTATTTTATTCGGTCGATCGTGTATCAAAAGGTTGGCGCGAGAGATCCAAGAATAAATACATTCATTTATATTTTACGTATTTTTACACTGTAAGTGTAGTCGTGGACACGATTCGTCGTACATACCGAGGACGATCTATGTGTATCCTGTGGTACATAAATGGAGAATGATTCGTTCCATTTGCGAACACGGTTGCCCGGTGGAGTCCTCTTGAGGTCGATGAAACGGAGTCCGATGATGGCTGGAGTT